AACTTGTTCGCAACCGTAATTAGCGGAGAAGGGACACCCTGGATGCAAAGCTGGTTTCCAGTTGAATCATTATGTCGCGCATCTCACACATACGGCGAGCAGTGGGGGGATGAGTTAGGTTAAAAGGAAGGAGACACGTCACATATCTCAATATATATTCACTTTTTAGAAACTTTCCAGACACTAAACCAATCCATTTAAGGTGTCGACGACCAGAGTCCGATTCGCCTCACATATAATCATTTCATTCCACCTGCACCATCACCCCTGTGTCATGGTCCTCAGTGTCATGGTCCGCACCCGTAGAAGTGTCACCGTCTCCCGCCACTGCATTATGTTCCATCTCCGATGCAGGGCTGCGTTCAAGAATGACAACGTCACGAACAGAAGCTAAGCAAATGATTATACATTATGGAATGCGTTAATAGGAATATAAAATCTACTTACCAGAAAAACAATGTCGAGGTTCCATCATCGGTTGACGGATCACTATGTGATGGAGCTCGAACTGGACTTGGACGATGCTGCCTGGCAGCAGTCCACTAAGTGTGTGATCTCGCACGAGTGTGTTGTCCACGTCCCGCACCACAAGGGGCTCCACTACATGGCCGCGGTATTCCGTAGAAAGTAAATCTGCACAAACACGAGGAACTAACCAATCCCGTCTTGCTGAAAAAAGATAAAATGACCGACCCGAGATAGCCTTTAACGCACTTACCAACGAGGTCTTCACTTTTAGGTACTACAGCCCGTTTGGAGAAGCGTAACGTGTCTCCCAAATCAGCGAGAATAAAATGAAAGCCTGACGAGTTGCCACAAACGGCCCGTTGCAACGCACGGGCATTAGCCAGTTGACTTGCCCAATCTTGGTGAAAAACGGTGCCGACTAGATGCATCATTTTAGACAGTCTTCAAGATACAAAATATTGTAAAACTCACCAGGGTCCTGCAAGATGAAAGAATATGCCGCCTTTGAAATGGGGTAGGAATCAGGTCTCCAGGAACCCAAACCGTCAACATAAGCGCGCTGACTGCAAACGCGACCAACAGCCCGAAGATGGGACTGCCCACTCGCGGGGCCTCGGCAAGTGTGACCAAAACTTTCTTCTGTCCAGTTGAACGAAAAGAGAGGGGATGCCAAATACGACGGCGACAACAAGATAGATGAGCGCGCCGCGTCGACGTTATCTACAACGAATCAAAAGAATGTGGTAAGAGAAAGCATGACTGACCCATCGTCCTAGGTGTCGAATAGGAACGCGAAACTAAATTTTTGAATGGCATTGCAAGCACAAGACCTTTTTATAAGGTATGAATCAGAACAAGCACCAGTTCACAACCCACGATACGCCACATACCGAGGGTGACGGACAAGGTTTCCCAGTGGACGACAGCCAGAGTGTCGGAATCGAACCCTCAATACCCGCATGTTGCTAACATCGAGCAAAGTGTTGAAGATCAATCAAGGTTCCTACGCTTTCCCACTCTAATATCGTCAGCGTAAACACATGAAGACCTCCAACTGACCAGTGCTAGCCACCTTAGCAGCTGTCAACGCGAGCCGATGAGGAATAAAAGCTCAGGGTAAGATGAAGGCAAACGAAGGGGCTGTACATGTCATGAGGCTTAGGATCGATATCAGTCACATGGTTGTCCAGCTTATCTACTTCATTGACGAAGCGCGAAAAAAATTCGACTGGCATGGCATACAACGCAATTGCTAACTAAAACGGCCTACATACAACCATGGAACCATCTCTTCAGTCAAGGGAACATGAGATTCCGACGATCCAAAAGGTGCCAGTGAGTTGTCCACCATCTACGTGGAAGTATTAAAAAAATGAAATATTTCCCCAAAGGGAAAACTCACGCAGTTACCAACCCACCGACTACTTGCATGTTTGAAAAAACATCTAATGGATGAACAAATTCACCCTCCCTTTGCATAACGACCAAAACATCTCCTGTGATGTGAGGACTTGCCATAGGGTTGTGCAAGGCCATGTACTTGTTGGCGAGTAACCCGTTGCGAGTCTCCCGGCGCTCCGAGGTGCTAAAATAGACACCGAGGACGGTTCCTTCTTTCATCGCATGCGGTCGGTCAACCACCATAGGAAAGAACAAGTACCTGTTATAAGTGACTGCACCCAGGAAATCGAACCTAGGCCCTTGAAGAGAGTTTTCATTTCGCACTCCCTCGTCTGCCAAACGCTCTAACCATGGTTCTGGAACCAGATGCGGAAATTTGGGATGTCGGGGAGCCCCCTTAACGACAGGAACCCGCACAAGAAAAGGTGATCCAGCACCTGGAGAGAACAATACAGCCCACGCAAACCGCCCGTCATAAGCCTTCAAACGAGCAACGTCAAAACAAGGACAAAGACGGAAGAGAACGCACCTGCTTAATGGCAACTTTCAGATTACGCTTAACAGCTGCCAAACGGACGTCTTTCAGGTTAGAAGTACGCCATAATTCCGCCATAGGTAATTCCGCATACTTCTGCAACAAACGCATATTGAAGCAGCCATAGAGACTGCAACGATCCAAGGTGGAATGAAAACCCATAGTGACATCGGGAAAACCGGTCTTCGCTTGCTCCCCCAACCAATCGAAGGTTCGTGTCAATTTAGGAAAAGAGAAGATGCATTGGCGATGGTCGTGTTGCATAGGCCGAAATTCCATAGGGCAGAACTTCGCAATGCAGGGCACCAGAGGCTCCCCGGCGCGACGACTAGCGGAGAAAATGGTGCGGAAATTTCTCTGCTGCATTTCCGCCTTGAAAATGTTCAGATTGAAGTTCGGCGAGCTCACTGGTGCAGTGTAGCGCAAATAGGTCACACCCTCGCGCAAATGAGTCGGATATTGGATAACGACAGCAGAGGTGGTGATGAAGATACCTTGCATGGAATGCAACAAGGTGGACAGCCACATTCCCATCGGATGCGACTGGATGCTCTCGCTGACGGTAATAACGATACCAGAAGGTGGTTTGGCGTAATCCACAGGAGGTGCGACAAGCTCCATAACGATACCACCCTCTTCTTCATCCGATGGTGCAGTCGCAGGCGCTGGAACCTCACCAGCTGGTGTCGTTGCGCGTGAAGAAGAAGGGGACGAGGTAGGAGTTGAAGGGGTGAAGTAAAAGCGCCTATGCGTTCCAGCCCAAGCATCATCGTAAGCGGGACAGAATATATCGTTGACTTGTGAGTAAACATTCGGAATCAAAATGTCGATTGGCGCCTCCTCTAACCCATTGTCTTTCAACAAAGGTCGCAGCGCAGCAAGACCCCCGTGTCCGACAGCCAGGTTGAGATTCTGAAGATACCACGGACGATCGGCCGCCTCCTCCGGCATCATCAGGTACATCCCCGCGGAGCCTACGATACCGCCATTATGACGAGCGAGAACCTCCAACACATCTCGTGCCTTGTCGCCCAAGAAGTGGTCTTGCAGCAAGAAAAAGATTCGGTCGCGAAAATAAAGCTTGCCAGATAGCCGAAAGAACGAGTTACAGAATGTGAGTTTCCTGAGGTCCAGGAAAGAGAGCGACCGATACACCATTCTCCAGAGCTCTAGCGGCAAGCCTCCGTCCAGAGTCGAAGGTTGATGAACCCGCGTAGCATTAGACGCAGGAACGTCTGCATCTCCGTCAGTGAAGTACCGAAAGCGCGCAAATGCCTCACAAGGTTCCATTAGCGGGGGAACCTCGTCGTCTGATCCACCTACTTCCCCAATGGCGCTTGCGAACAAAATTTTGGGAGCGGGGGAAGGTATGGCTTCGAGTAGTACCATGTCGGCAGGCTACAAAAAGGTGAACAAGATCCCTCTGGCCGAAACACGAATACTGACTAGTTTATACAAAGATGTGAGCATAGAAGAGTCTTTACAATATCGTTCAAAGTTAGCAACATATAACTCTTTTTTTTTCGCCACCGACCGTCCCCTGGCACCGCAACATCTTCAAATAGATGGTCCATCGATTTGCTTTTGTGGGAATGAGATCGTCTGGGAGCGTGAAAAGAGGGGGATGAAGACTGTCAGAGAGCGGACAGGAAGCTTTTAAACGGAAGGTAACTCACCATCTATCGTCTCTCACTCCCTCTTAGACCGTGTCTTTCAGGGTAATATTCGGAAGAAATATGTCGCCGGCTTTCTCGTGGTGCGAACGAAACGGCCTGACTTGTACACACAAGGGCTTAATCTTGCCCAAGACGCAACAGATGCCACAGGTTGAAATAGGCGCCCCTGGGAAACGGTAGGATCCACCAGGTGACGAAGATGCCGCTGCATAATGTTGGTTCCAGATTTGATGCTCGCACGAATTCCCCACGAACGCCACTGAGAGGACGACCTGTTCAGCACTAGCGGCCCCCTTCTCGATGGGTAGATTCAACCACATCGCCTCCAAACTCTCCCAGTCGTCGGTCGCATTCGCGGGGCTACTCATCGGTGGTGGAAGGAAGAGTGGAGTGAGGGCGGCCAAAAGCTTAGCTGGCACATAGCCGCCCCGCCAACTGAGTTATCGATCACATCAACAAAGTTAAATCAACGTGCTCAGGGTCAACGGACAACGCGCAACCCATCGACAACGTTACGCGCAGGCAAGGAAGGGGAAATGGGAGGAGCGCGATGCGCGCCCGGGGCAGGCGCGGTAGACTCACAGTAACTGACAGATGTAACGACGCGTTGTTTATATCTATGTACACAGCCATCTTCATCGCGTTGTTTACATCTGTTTGTTTTTTTTGTTTACACTTGTTAGGATTCTTTTTGCACATACGGGACCTAGCTAAAGCAAGGTAAAAAATTTCTTCCAGATGGTGAATTTCTTCTCACAGGGAGTTATGGAAAGACCGTCACAGAGAGTTCCTGCCTTTAAAAAACTTGGTATACACAATACAATCCTTAGCAACAGGAGAGTTTACAAGATTCATGTCGAATTGTTGATTGCAGTACTACTGTACACCAAGACCAAGAGGGTAAAGGAAAGAGATCCAGATCAGCGCGTTGTGTCGTTCTGCGTGGGCCGCACGATATTCCCAATCCCTCCTCTGCCTGAAGAACGCTGCAACATGTGCTGAGTGAATAGACACCACAGACGGGGCTATAAAGCTCACCACGCTCGCGGCTGGCTCGAGGCGCTGCGCCATTGGCTCATTGACGGGCGGGGGCGGACTGCGGCTGAAGTTTCCGGCGCCGCCACGCCCCGTCGAGCGCTTGATTTTTGCAGCAGGATCCACGGAGGTTGATGTCGAGCGCTGGCCGGCACCGGTTGGCGACTGGGAGGTCTGTGGGGAGCCTTGGCCCGAGCCTGCTGGCTGCCTGGCGCGGTCGCGGCCACGGGGCCACGGAAACTCTTGATTAGGGTCGGCGGGGAAAGGCGGGACGGTTGAAGGAGTTGGTACGGGCGGAACCGGGACCGTGGGATAGATATTTCCTGCTCCGCCGCGACCAGAGGAGTACTATATGCGCTGTGTTAGGGCTACCGATGGCGAGTAGAGCGAAAACGCACGCGGCCGCGAGAGAGCGAGCGATCTAGGGACGTACGTCAGCGGTATGTCGTCAACGGAGAGAGATAAGGACGACAAGGCGCCGCATCGAGGCTTATCGCGCGCCTTATCTCTCTCGTCAGGGGTATAAAAGAAGGCACACACCAGTGACACTCGCGTTCGTTACCCCCTCCACGACTGTGCTTGCCAGCGACTCTGTCTCTGCATTGTACCCATCGACATCCCCCCGCCCACTGGCAGCCTCGCGGTCCCTCCCCACACTCACGCCACGCAATCGGGCACCCATCGCGGAAATTGCCGCACCAAAGGCCCGTCGGGGCGGCGAGACTGACTGGGAGGCCGGGTGGGCAGAGGAGTGGCGCTGGTCGCTCTCGGTGTTGGTCGACATGCTGGTGGTGGCCTGAGACAAGCTCCGTGGGCGGCACTGCTGGGGCAGAGGCGTTTTCTGCTGCCACCTCACGCTCAGATGGCGTCAGCGGTCAGGAGTCATATCGCTCGCCGTGGCCCGACGGCGAAGTGTTTCATGACAGCCGCGGCAAAGGTCATCTGCAACAGGACGGCTCACATGCTAAGGTCGTCTTACCCAACTTTTTTGGGGGCTCGGAGTTTTACCCTAAATTTGCCTCCGAGTTGCTGCAATCCCCTACTTTTACTCAACTTTTATCTTGTACATTACTAACAAAAAACAGATTTTTGCTTCATATGATACAATAGGCTAATTATAATACTATCAACCAGCCCTTTTCTTTGACTTGCACTTTCCTATGTGCTTCAGAACATTGTGAATACTGCAAACTTCCAAAAGCTGATATTGGTGTGGTCTTGAGGATTGACTCCGACTGAGGTGGAAAATTGTCTTGTCATGGCTTAAGAAGGCATAGGAATGTATTCATCATTATCCATTCTCTGTCAACTATCTCATTAGTATACAGACTTCAAGTATATTATTCAAATTATCCACACCCTAGATACCAGTGAAAAGCCTACAATGTATTGGACTTAGTCAGAAATTATCTGAAAAACTTGAAACCATGGTCCCTGTCATTGGGTCTTCCCTTGGGTAAGGCCTACTGCCGTTAAGGCTCGTGCATACTGCAGTGCCCTAGGCTGCATGCCCCCTAATCCCCTGGTGTCAAGTTTGTTGAAGGAGAGGCGAATGCGAGCCATCGCCGAGGAATGACTCAGCGCCGGGCCAAGCTCCGGACGCGCAGCATCAGGAATTTTCAAAAGTTCTACTTGTTTCCATTGACTCACACTTATAGAATTTACTAGAATATTCACTGGAGTATAAATACTTTGTACTTACTCTGCAATGGACATTGAATTCACATCTATTCTTTCAACAAAGCTAGGCTTGGCAACGGCTCGATATGTCGTTCTCGGTTACATGCTTCCCACATGTGTGTTCCTCCTACTGGGGCGCCTGTTCCCCGTCGTCACGTGCTGCATGTTGCAGGCCCGCAATGACCCGACACCAGCGCTGGAGCGGACAGGCCGGGGCATCCTTAGAAGGCCCAGAAAGGGCTTCAATAGGTCCTGGATGCCTCTCAGCGTCTCTGCTTGTCACTGTGACTGTGACGTGACAACCAATTCCCTTACTAGTATGAAATTTGCCAAATCTGGAATCTTTCTAAAGCTATACATTCTAACATGATATGTTCCAGAGTTTCTGGAACTTTACATAGAGGGCATTCACCAAAGGTTTGTAGGTGGGGAATATTATCCCAGAATAGTCCCACTCTAAATGTGGTATATATAGTTTTTGTCAGACTGCGGGTCGGGCCGTGCAAGGACTTCTCCTAAGAACGCGCGGCCCGGAACAGAACAGACGGGTAGTCAGGCCCGCAAGTACGGCGGGCGGGGTAGATCGAAACCGAAAGGGCCCGTGAACTTGGTCCCTTGCCGTAGTCGGTGGTCGGAGGTTCGAATCGGGTTGTGTCGGGCCCGATGAGTCGATAGCGTCTCCTTGCACGGAGTAAGGTAGTTCTTTAGATGATCTAAGCAATAGGGTACAGGGTACACTATCGCGCCTTTATATACGCGGGCCCGCAAAGGGGGTGATCGGACACCCTGGCCTCTCCTCCTCCTCCTCGCTCCCGTTCCTGGCCGCAGAGGGGACGATCGCACATCCCTTGCGGGCCAGGCACTACTCCTGACCTCCTAGCACTCCTCCCCAGTCCCCTTGTGTCGAGTTGGGCTCGGCGACGGCTCGACGCGTCGTTCTCGGTCACGTGCTTCCCACGTGTGCGTTCCTCCTACTGGGGCGCATGTTCCCCGTCATCACGTGCTGCGTGTTGCGGGCCCGCAATGGCCCGACACCAGCGCCGGAGCGGACGGGCCGGGTCTTATCCGTGACATCACCCCCTCCCTAGGAACGACTCGTCTCGAGTCGGCGTGGCTCGGTCGCCCCGGTTTCTCGGGTTAATTTGACTCTAGCTCGTCCTTCCAATCGCAAATTCCATCCAGCCCATAAGCTTAAGCTAAGCTTCGGCTGCGCGTTTTAATCTCCCGCGGCTTCCGTCGCCTCGTGGCGTCCGCAGATCGATTCTTCCTGTCTATCAAGTGTTTCACCGCGGTCACGTGCGGCGTATCGTAGGTGTTTTTCAATTCAGTTGCGCGTCCTTTGTTCATATTGCTTGCGAGTAGGCTGTGCTGCGCGCCTCGGTCGAGTTCGATATAGAACGCGTTCGTTCTCCATATAAGCCGGGGGTTCCCCTTCTAATTCTCTCCATGTCATCCCCCAACTTGTACCGCTCCGGGTTATTGCCCCCCCTCGTCCCTCAGATGGTTCCCCCGTCGTCGGAACCTGGTCGTCTGTTCGTTCGTTTCGCCTCTATGTCTCTTGTCGAGTTTCCTGCCTCCTGGCCCATCGCGCAAGGGCGAGACCCGTCGTACCGGGAGTCGTTCGAGCGCCTCCGCCCGTTGGAGGTCTTGCCTCTGTATCAAGTTGCCGAGTATTCCTCCAAGCTGCTCCCTCGGTTGGCCCCCGTAGTCCGTTCGCATCGAGCTCCCACTCTCCCAGTCCCCCCTGCAGCGCCCCAGTTCCCGTCGTCTTCCCGTCGAATCTTGTGGCAAGGCGAGTTCGACCGCCTGATGAAAGCCGGTCTGTGGCAGCCCGTTGTCTTCGGGCCCCACCACCTTTACTTTGGCGTTTTGTTCGATGCGTTTCCCTCCTCCTTCATCTGGCGTCGCGAGGACGGCTCCCTTCAGGATATCCGCCCCTTGTTCGGACAACTGGGCCGTGGCCTCCTTGCCCATCTCCTCTCTGCCGACACTTCTTCTCCCAGTGATTCGTTCTTTCCCCGCTTGTGGCGTTGGGTGGTATGTTTCCTTCCTTGCTCGCTTCCGGCCGTGCGCTTACGGTCTTCATCCAGCGCCTTATCCTGCATGCATTGTCTTGCGCCTCCTCGGCCGGCCTTCCCTCCTTCGTATCGGATCGATTCCTTATCCTAGCCCACGTGGCCGCCTTCCGCGTATTTCCCCAAGAGAACATGGCGCGTCCTGATACGTTGGCCCGGCTGCTGGGCCCTCTCCCTCCGTCCCTCGTCCCGCCGTTTCTTCACGCCGACCGGTGGTCCTCCTTCGTCCGGGTCGTCTCCTTGCAAGATCCTCGAGACAAGTTCGTGTTCTCGGGTGGCCCTTCGTTGGATGAGGCAGAAGCGGGCGTTTCCTTGTCCGGGAAGATTCCGAGGCAGCGGCCTCGATGGTGAAGCGCGTTTTCCCTACGCCCGTGTCTCGGGCGCGGTCCTCCCCTTCGATGGAGATCGACGTAGAGCATGGCGGTGCCCCGCCGGTTTCGACCTTACTGTTCTTCCCCTCTGATCCGGAGTCGGATTCGGACGTGGAAGTGATCGCCGGCCCCCGTCGTTTGTCCTCGCTAGGGATCGACCCTTCGGAACACGAGTCGGCAGAGGATGAACTTGATCCTCCTTTCTCCCCGGCCTCGTCGCCCACCCCGTTGCACCGGGATTTCGGCACCCCCTTGGCCTCTCGTCTAGAATCCACTGGGCAGTTGGCGCTTTTCCCGGGGAGAGCCGGGAACAGTGATCCGATCCCTTTCCCCTCGCTGCGAGTATTGCATTGCTCACGATCGTTTATGCACCGTGTGGGGCGCCCCAGATAGTTCTCCCCAGAAACTCCCTGGTCCCGTGCGTCGGGCTTGTGACGCGTGCAGCCCGCTCCATCATGCCTGTCTGCGTTGGCGGTCTCCTGCAGATGCGTACAAGGCTCGTTCCGCGGATCTGCGCGAGTTTTCCTTCGAATTTTGGGAGCGTCAAGTCGAGGATGGCGAGTTTGCGCTGCTGCATCCCGATCCCCGCTTCGCCGATCTAGTCGGGCTGTCCGCATCGGTTCCATACCGATCCTTCTTGTTCTCCTATTTGCCCCGTTCAAACGAGGATTGGTTCGGGCGGAGCCCGACCCCGACGGTCGGGCCGTCGTCGCCGCCCGGTCGTCCTCTCGTCAGGGTCCTCTCGGGACTCCTCCCCGTCCCCCGTGCGAAAACGAGTTCGCACCCGCTCGCCGTCTCCCCCGCCATCGCCGGGTTGGTCCCGGCCGAGACCTCGCCCCAATTTCCGCTGGCCAACCCCCCCCTGTCGCGGATCGCTCGTCAGGAGAAGCGTCGTTCCGGCCGCCCGCTCCTGCGGGTCAGACCCGCCCTCCTTCTTATCCCACCATGGGTTTCCAGGTGCCGTCATTCTTTCGAGTCTCTCTGTGGTTCGGGAGAGGGTGGGACTTGGATCGGGCTATCGCTGAGTCTCGCCGGCTGCATGGGGATCTGTCGGTGCCTGCCGATCAATGCTTGTCGCCGTTGGGCGTGCTGCTGTTGCAACAGTCAGCGGTTCATTCGGCCGACGGGGGGTTTCCGGATGCTCGGACCCGTGCCCTTGCGGAGTTGTCGTCGATGCGTTCTCTAGACGCAGACCTCCGGTTGGTGAACTCGCTGGAGTCCCTGACAGCATCGCGGGACGTTGCCAACGTGTGCCGCTATCTGGGCGCCATTCTCCTGGCTATCCACCGGTCTGAGGGCGAGAGGTCGGGGTTCTGGGAAACGCCGGAGGGTTTAGAGCGTCGGGCCGCTGAACGAGAGGTGTATGCGGATGTGTGCCGTCGGGACGGCCTGAGCTTCAACATGATGGACCTGGATTAGGCTTAGGCGGATCGTTGGTCGTCTTTCGGCGACATCGGCCAGAGTTCCCCGTCTACTCGGGTTTCGGCGTTCGGGTATCCCCATCCTTTCGTTTGCTGTCGTCGTTCGCGCGCCTTGTCAAGTCGGCCCCCTCTCGTAGGACTTCCCCGTTGTGGTTCGGACTATATCTTGTTTCTTTTTTTTTTTGTTCGTGTTTTTTTGTATTAGGGTTAGGTCAGACCCGCCCTCCTTCTTATCCCACCATGGGTTTCCAGGTGCCGTCATTCCCTCGAGTCTCCCTGTGGTTCGGGAGAGGGTGGGACTTGGATCGGGCTATCGCCGAGTCTCGCCGGCTGCATGGGGATCTGTCGGTGCCTGCCGATCAATGCTTGTCGCCGTTGGGCGTGCTGCTGTTGCAACAGTCAGCGGTTCATTCGGCCGACGGGGGTTTTCCGGATGCTCGGACCCGTGCCCTTGCGGAGTTGTCGTCGATGCGTTCTCTAGACGCAGACCTCCGGTTGGTGAACTCGCTGGAGTCCCTGACAGCATCGCGGGACGTTGCCGACGTGTGCCGCTATCTGGGCGCCATTCTCCTGGCTATCCACCGGTCTGAGGGCGAGAGGTCGGGGTTCTGGGAAACGCCGGAGGGTTTAGAGCGTCGGGCCGCTGAACGAGAGGTGTATGCGGATGTGTGCCGTCGGGACGGCCTGAGCTTCAACATGATGGACCTGGATTAGGCTTAGGCGGATCGTTGGTCGTCTTTCGGCGACATCGGCCAGAGTTCCCCGTCTACTCGGGTCTCGGCGTTCGGGTATCCCCATCCTTTCGTTTGCTGTCGTCGTTCGCGCGCCTTGTCAAGTCGGCCCCCTCTCGTAGGACTTCCCCGTTGTGGTTCGGACTATATCTTGTTTCTTTTTTTTTTTGGTTCGTGTTTTTTTGTATTTTTTGCAATCAACCACTCGTCTTGTGCTCGTTCGTCGCGTGGTGGGTAAAAACAGGGGATTTTTATTATTAGGGGCCCCGAGGCCCCGCCAAAGGTTAAAATAGAGCAGATTATGAGAGGAATAAGGATGGTCCCCAGGGCCTTCGTACGGAGGGAGGTGTGCCCCATTTCATCAGGCAGAGTGTGCCGGCGGCCCGGGGCGGTCTGAGACGATTCGGATCGGGGTCCGGCCGTACGCGGGGAGGGGCGGTGAGTTGTTGAGGCGTCGGCGCTTTGCGGCGGGCCTGACACCATGGGCCGGGCAGGCGTGTTCCATGTGCCGATGGTGTTCGTCCAGGGAGACCCGCCTAGGGGTGCCCCACTTCAGGGCGGGCTCCTTTCTCCCGTAGAGGACGCGGTCGAAAACCACGGGTTGGGCTTTGAGGATGCGTCCGTATAGGTAGGCAAGGGAGGCGATGACGATAGCCACTATCGTAGCCCACGCCGGGAGTGCGATGACGGTGGTAGTGTCCATTCTGTTGCGGGTGTAGGGGGATCGCTTAGATTCTGTCAGACTGCGGGTCGGGCCGTGCAAGGGCTTCTCCTAAGAACGCGCGCCCGGAACAGAACAGACGGATAGTCGGGCCCGCAAGTATGGCGGGCGGTGTAGATCGAAACCGAAAGGGCCCGTGAACTCGGTCCCTTGTCGTAGTCGGTTGGTCGATGGTTCGAATCGGGTCGTGTCGGGCCCGATGAGTCGATAGCGTCTCCTTGCACGGAGTAAGGTAGTTCTTCAGACGATCTAAGCGATAGGGTACAGGGTACACTATCGCGCCTTTATATACGCCGGGCCCGCAAAGGGGGTGATCGGACACCCTGGCCTCTCCTCCTCCTCCTCGCTCCCGTTCCTGGCCGCAGAGGGGACGATCGCATATCCCTTGCAGGCCAGGCGCTACTCCTGACCTCCTAGCACTCCTCCCCAGTCCCCTTGTGTTGAGTTGGGCTCGGCGACGGCTCGACGCGTCGTTCTCGGTCACGTGCTTCCCACGTGTGCGTTCCTCCTACTGGGGCACATGTTCCCCGTCGTCACGTGCTGCGTGTTGCGGGCCCGCAATGGCCCGACACCAGCGCCGGAGCGGACGGGCCGGGTCTTATCCGTGACAGTTTTCCATAAAAGATCTCTAATTTTCACACTTAATTGTGATAATCTTATTGATTTCCATATAGCTGCATCTGTAGGTTCATAATGAGCAAACTCCTTTATTGTTACCTGAGTTCTTTCAAGGTTGATAGAAGTAATTTGTGGATGGGTATGTGATAGGTTGATTTGATTATTATTTTTGAAAATAATTGCTGTGATCCACTTTGTAGTGAAATATCTGGTGAAATGTAACTTCAGCTTCTGTTTCTAACAACTATGGAGTAAAAGGTTCACCAGTAAGTAAACTTGTCTTGTTATCCAAAATTTTCCTAAAGTAGGTTTTCTGTGTTCTCTCTCTCATATGCATGTATGATAGGCATGCAGTAAATAATGGGAATATTGGATGTGACATGTCATTTTCAAGCAAACAGCGGTTCTTAACTAATAAGTCAGATAATAATGGGTCAGTAGTACAAATATTCAACACACAATCAGGACCAGTCAGTTCAAGCACCAACATAAGTGCACCTAGCCAGGCTGATTTAAGGTTTACTGTAGCATTTTATTCAGTTCGTATGTCACGTGTCACAGTAGCTATAAAATTCGAAATTTTTTCGTATGTCACACCATTTTGCTCAAAATCCTCTCCCAAAAAGGCAATTTATGACATTTCCGGGCGCCTCCGGCGCCAAGAGTTTCCTAATTAGGAAATAATTCGAATTGATATTTTCGTATTGAATGTCACACCACTTTTGGCATTCGAATTGAATAAAATACAACAGTAAGGGTGTTGCTGTATTAGTGAATTGTATTTCAAATTTCTCATTATTGCCACAATCCTCTGCTGAAGTAATTCTCAATGCTACAAGTAGTCAGGGTTTGTAATCTCCTGGGTTCCCGGTTAACAACTTTAACAATTAAAAATACATTAATATCTTTTGATGTATTGTCATTCTGTTTGTATTCTTCATGCAGGTTGTGAGGACATATAGAATTCCTCTTCTACAAAAATCCTACATATATCAGATAGATTAACTGATTTATAATTAGGATCAAAGGTTTTTTTATATTCACTTTTAAATGAGAGTAAGTAAATTATGTGATTTCTCTTCCTCTGTGAGACTCAATTCATCAGCAATATCACAGAGTGGATTCCATTTATCATCAATACATAATAGAAGTTTTTGGGCAATATTGATACATTTTCCTGGATGAGCACAGTTTACCAAATGGCCCCTGACCGCATTCAAGACCGCATTTACAGAAATTATGTGATGTGATAAGTGGTTGCAGCAGAAGTTTACCAGCCCGGGCCTTCCATTAAGGCTCAGGATCCCGACTTCGAAATGCCAACTTCCCCTTTGCCACCATCTCAGGCATCAACTCTTTCAGGGCCGCGCAGCAGGCGACATACTGCACTTTGGCCTTTTCGACGTCGTGCGGGGTATATGTCATTCCCTCGTACTCCATTCCCGTCGACTTGAACTCGATTACGACCTCCCAGCACAGCGATGCGAGGGTGGGATGCGACACCGCCCGCGTGTCGAGCCGTGCAATCGTCGCTGGGTTAAATGCGAACGCGATGGGCAGGGTGCTGTCGAAAGGTCCCTTCCGCTCGGCGGCTGATGCAGACTGCGTGCCTTTCCTGGCAGGTTCTTCATCTGTGTCCTCGTCTGCACTGTCATCCTCTCCCTCCTGCTCTTCTTCACCGTCGTTATCGTCATCATCATCCTCTTCCTTCTCATCGCCATCCTCGTTATCCTCATCATCATCCTCATCATCCTCGTCCTCCTCGTCCTCATCATCGTAATACTCAGAGTCATCAATTTTGACCCGAAGCACCACAACGAGCTCGCTTAACTGCGGACACGCTTCTGGCTGGAGCATCGTGTCAATCAGCTGCGTTACCGTCCACGGGGGACTGTCTTCGAGCTCGTTAGCCGTGAAGCGTGCTGTGAGGACGCGCAGCGCTGGCCAATTTGTCGGGAGCGCGTATGCTTTGGCATCGTCCAACGCAATGTCATCTGCCGCTCATGTCAATGGGAAGAAAGACAAATGAATTCCACGCACACATCGAGGGGAGCTCAATGCGGGGGATAGTCGGCGCGAGCAAGGCATACGCGGGGAGTAGGTCCTCTATATTGTGATCGTGGCCAGAGAGGGTCAGGAAGGCGATGGCGGGTAGACACACCCGCAGCGGTTGCGTATCACCCAGTCGGCGGGCAACGGTGGAAGTGTAACGTAGGGAGATAGAGGTGACGGGTTGGTCCCCATACCCGCCCTCGAAAGATTCGTTGTCGTCCTCAGGCTTGTGCGCCGCCGCAATAGACGATGTGAAGCGTAGTCGCTTACACGCGCCGATGTAAAGGGAAAGGGCCCGACTTGAAATGTCGGAAACGTGGTGGAGGGTCACATAATCAAGCGGTCGTTGTTGTCTTCGACGGTCAAGGAAAAGCGCGGTCAACGCGACATCCACCGGGGCGGGCATTCTTCCCCACGACACCACGCCCGTCGTGTTCGAAGTAAACGACACGCCCTTGAGCTGTGCCATCTGTGCAAGGAAGTCCGGGCCGACAGCCGCGAACGCGCCAGGCTCAGGCACATCCCAGTCGAGCTCGATGTTTAGGCGGGCAACGAGCAAGGCGAGGTGCGGTGACTGCTCGAAGTGCGTGACCGCGCGCTTCCAGCGGCTTGGCTTGGCTACAGGAAGGGAGAGCGTGGCGAGAAGGCGCTTCTGGCAGGGGTGGACGAATGCGCGCGCGGCGAGGCAGCACTTTTTGAGGGACGCCTGGGTCCGGATGTGGCCGACGATATGCTCAATTAGCTCGGGCGGGAGGGGCGGCATGGCGTGTCTATGTCCCAGTTGTTAGCGAGAAGAGGGAGGCAAAGGATGGCGCACCAGGTCTGAGTGGTGAGCAGAGGTGATATTGGAATCAACCAGCGTAGCGACAGCCGAATTCGGGTATTTTGCTGCGTCAAGTCAAGTGCTTGACGACCATCCATTTCGGCGCCGAATGTAGGCCTGCTTTTGGACGTGGCGGCCGGAGGAACCGTGTGGGCAGAGACAAGATCAATGAGGTGGCTGTGCCTCGGATGATGACGGTATTTTCCGCGTCACAGTCACGGTGATCTCTCACACTTGTGAAAATTCCGCCGCCAGGTCACATCTCAAAAAGGAGTGTGGGAACTATTGAAGCTCGGATCGAGCGCGTCGGCAGTGCGGCAATAATCGGCACCCCTCTCAATACTGAAGTCACTGAACGACGAAGTACAAACCAGTATCCATAGAAGTGTCATTTCCTAGCGTGCAATACATGCGGTGGATATTTAGGAGGTATAGCAAAGTATGGAGGGTAATTGGCGTAGGTAGGTAGGTCTGGAGGGGGTAGTGAAGCAGTCGATACCGAGTTTACATCAAGTCGGGCTTGCTTCCGTGGTGTCGTTGTCGAAGGGTTGGCGGTGTCGGCCTTCCTTTTCGCTTTCGACTTATTCTTAACTGTCGGGAGAACGAGAGACGGCGGTTGTCTGGGTGGTTTTGGTTGGGCATGCCCTGGTTGCATAAGCAGTTTTGTCTTGTTCCATTGCTTCATCCGTGGGTGAACACTTTGAGAAGTCGGCAGCACATCACTATCATCGGTAGCACGAAGAATATCATCAAGAGACGCTTGCCAAGAGGAGAAGGAGGGAAATTTGGAGCTCTTGAGGCCAGGTCGACGTAAGCGAGCAGCGACACGCTCTAAATCTCTTGCGAATAGCTTGAGATCGTCAGCAGTATTGCTCTGCAGTTCGTCAGGGTACGTGGTCTGAGCGTTGTCGTTGTTGTTCGCATTGGGATCTCCGACTTCGACTTCAATCTCGTATTCAGTGCCACGACCGTCATCACTCGTGCTGCCAAGGGACCCGGTCTCGCTGTCTGTTGAGAGATCCAACTCGCGGCTGTCCGTGGTTTCCAGTTCGTGTGGCAAGGGTATAGGTGTTGTGTCTTCTTCAAAGTTTGTTTGAACGGCAGCGATGTGCTTGCAGTATTGAATTAGCGGAAAGTCGAGACAGCTGCAGGTATAAGCAGAGATATCGATAGGGAATGGCACGGGTATACCCACGGGTATCCGAGGGCCTACCCGTACCCTTACCCGCACAGCCACAGTACCCATACCCGCGGGTACGGGTATGGGTTTACCCACGGGTGGCACAGGGAGTCAAGAAGGCATGGTGACGAGACTGTGATTAGTGTCCAAAGTACGCCAGAAATGTGCGGTAAAAATGGAACACAAATTCGGAATCGAACAGAGAACTTCTTGACCACCAACCACGAGGGGAACCAGCTGAGTCAGGAAGCGACGGGTAAGGGCTGCACTGACCCGTACCCGTACCCCCGCACGGGTAAAACCCGCGTACCCGCGCGGGTATGGCCTACCCGTGCCATTGCCTAGATATCGACGTTGTATTGATGACCATAGACATTTCTTGAAGATACAAGATATCGATTAGGACCCACACGCTTCAAAGCATCAGTGAAACGAATGAAAAGACTGAGAGTCCATGCCTGGATGTCCTTCTCGGTCAGCTCTGCACTCTGTTTGATAATTTCTTGTCGTTTTTGTGCTTCGACATCGTCTCCTTCGAAGCCAAGCTGTTGGCGGCGTATTCGAAGCTCATAGTGGGGGATAACACGGAATATGAGAATGCTGATGAGATGATCCATCCGCCAATTGCGTTTACCGAGAAGAAATTTCGACTTGAGGACATGATGGTACCTGCGAAACCAGTCAATTGATATCAGTTTCGAGGAATGGACACGCACGCCTCGATGAGCATGTTGGTATCACATCGCTCGAAAACTGACCGCTGCGTGCGATATACCGCTGACCACATTTTGACGACGTCGGGCTTCATGTAATACTCGGCCATGTACTCGACGAATCCACGAGGGCCAATGAGCTTGATTTGAGTCCACATTGCATCAAACTGGCTCTGGTCGGTGACGCGGATCCATCGCTGCAGCAGGTTCCACAAGTCTGGATGTAAGTCGGCGTTGAGGTGCTTCTTCCATGCACGCAGAACATGCCACCAGCAGAGTAAGACAAATGCAGTCTTGAAAACTCGATTTGATGCGTTGACTTCTGCCCAGTCAAAGTCTGTCATGAGGTATCGCGGTATGGTTGCGTTGCGTTGAAGATGCAGCTTGAGGAAGTACTCGATCGTAACCTGAGTGCCGTCCGAGTGTAGCATCCAAGCAACTGGTATTCCTTGAGCAACTCAGCATCCGACACCATTACGAAGATAGAAGCGGTGTACTGACCATGGGCCCACTTATCGCGGACGACCAGTGTCGTAAGTAGGAGGTTCTCGTAAATCGTGATATTGTGCGTTGCATCGATGCAAAGGATGCCTTCGCCATACTTCGAGTACATTTCTCTTTGCCAAGGCGTCTGAATTGCCAGGAAGAAGAGGTCACTTGCCAGACCCGAGTTTGGCGGCGGTGGGTCGCATTTCGCTTTGAAGCCAAGAATGCAGTCGACTTCACGCAGGTTATCCACCCAGATACGTGTTGACCGTCCATCATCGCGGTGCATACGAATCTTCTCAGCTTCAAGTGATTTCTCAATCCGGCGGATGTCGCGAAGCTCGACAAGGGTGTTGCGGACTGGAGCAGTGTTGCTGGGTGCGATGGCAGCTTTGAGGTTCTTGATGCTAGGTTCAGGAAGACCATGAAGGTTGGAAAGCTGCGTAAAGTGAGATAAACTTGATGAACAGAAGGTTAACGCACTATTGACGTCGCTGCTGCTCCCGCGCGAAGAAGTCCAGCGATATGTTCCCGCGTAGTCCGTGAAATACGAGTGAACTTGAGGTTATCGTCGCCTAGAACGTGGTTGTGTTGAGAGTGGTATGTGGCAAGGACGATGGGGCTGCCAGGGTACGTCTTGACGAGCAGTCGACAAGGACAGTTGGTTCGCTTGTTTTGTATCTTGCGTCGGCGTAGCGGAAGCAGCTTGACATACTTCTTGAGGCCGCCAGTGCCAGCGCGCGAGCAAACATAGCGATGTCGAGTCCCATTCTCGCGGTTCTCGTTTCTTCTTGGCTTGTACTCTTTCACCTTCCGCAGCTCACACCCCTTCTCCTCCTCCTCTCGAACCAACCACGACTCAAATTCTTGAATACTGCTCCATCGAAGGTCGAAATTCTTGTTGGCGAGGTCGTAGGCCAGTGTTCCCTGCAGTGGTGGAGGAGTATGAGGGCTTTCGAAGACGCGGAATGAGATTTCGGCTGGGCGGGGCTGAGGTGTGGCAGCGGTCGCAGCCTTGGGAAGGTCGAGGCGGAAGGAGAACATGGTAGCAGGGTGCAAGGAGACGGGTGCGACCGTCATCGTCGTCGAGCCCCTGGCGGTTAGGGTGAGCGGAAGGTCAAGACTGCCGGCCGACGGCGCCTTCTCTGCCGTTTCCCACATCTCCATTTTGGGATGTGACATGGCGGCGGAAGTGCGATTTTGATCTCTCACTCTTCCCGTCCCATCACCGACGTCTTCATTCCGCTACATGTCCGTATAAGAGGCCGCCAGCTAGCGCTATGTGTTCATAATGCTTGAATTGTTCCCCACAGCATCGGCCCTGGCCGCCTTGGCGCTGGCAATTGTTTATGCAGCTGTGAACATGAAGCCGCGGGACGGAGGGATTGCGACACTCCCTGGCCCTATGTCCTCCTCCTGGCTTTACGGTATGCTGTTGCTCTTGTTCCTCACCGTCCTCTCACCTTATTATTAGGAAATATGCGGGAGTTGCTCTTGTCTACGCAATATGGCGCTTTCGAGTTCGCGTGGCAGAAGACGTTTGGGCCAGTCTACAGGGTCAAGGCATGCTTCGGGGTGAGAAATGCCTTTGCTATCGAGGTTCATCGCCGACTTATAAAATCATCAGCGACAACGTGTCCTTCTGGCCGATCCACAAGCCATGGCCCACGTCTTGTCGAGCCCTGACTTCGAGCACACGCCTACATTCGAGCATACCACGGCACTGGTGGAGGGAGTCTTAAGCTTAAGCTATGTGCAAGGTGGGTCAATGTCAACATGTTTAGTCCGCGGTATCACCTATAGTCCGGCCCAGGCGGACAACATGAACGCATCCGCGGAGCTATGGGCCCTGGCTTTACACCAGAGGCAGTCCAGGGGTACAAGCCCGCATTGGATCACGTCGCTTCAGATGTATGCAAAGCCTATTCCAGACGACCCCAGCTTACAACAAATGACAGCTGGTCGATGCCCTCCGGAAACTGTCAACCGTTGATAGTTCGCTCGGCGCCGACGTCTGTCCCTCTCTCTCCACTGCAACCCTGGGTGCCGTCTGCCGTGGCGTACTGGGAATCAGCGTGCAAGACCTCGGTCCCGACTTGCTAAGGACGATGGCCGAAATGAGGTGTGCCTGCACCCTTCTCCTTGAGATCTTAACTGACACCTCACATAGTGCTTTTGCTTCAAAGACATCACCGGCAAAGCTCCTCAGCGATGCCCTCGCCTCACCCGCATTGCTGCCTCTCACGTCCCGTCTGCCAAAGCCACCGTTCAGCATTCTCCGGCGTCTCCGGCAGCTGTCCACCGCGCTGGGTCAGCGTGTGGTCGTCTCGCAGGTCAACGGCCAAGGCGCTGCGGTACGCAGCAACTTGAATGTCGTTGGTTCCATAGGTAAATCACATCGCTACCGATTCAATTTCTTTTTACTCATATGCCATGTAGTATCCGTCCAATCATTCGGCGAGCAGCTGTCTCTTGACGAACTTGCGGGCCAAACTGGCCGCTTCCTCATCGCCGGAACCCAGTCTGCTGTAGGGCTATTGCCCGCCTAACTGGTCCGACCTGCTGATCCACAATTGACAGACGAACGCGATGTCATTTGCGCTCTTCGAGCTTGCGTGCGACCCGGACTTGCAGCGGCGCATCCGAACGGAGTTGCGCGACGGAAACGAGGACGATGCGCCGTTGCTCACGTCTTTAATCAAGGCATGCGCGGTTTATTCCATAAGATTGAAGTTGATCATGGATGCAGGAAATACTTCGCTTTTATCCGGGCGTTGCGATCTCAGAGCGAATCGCCCTCCGGAACACTACAATCCCGATCCCTGACAGTGCCAGCCAGATACCCAACACGACCCGACCACTGAACATCAAGCGTGGCGAGGCCGTGTTCATCGCCACTTCCTCTTACCATCGGTATCGTCCGATTACCCATATAATATTTGAGTTCTACAATGATCTTTCAGGAACGTCGCAGTTTGGGGCGATGATGCCGACCAGTTCAAGCCCGCGCGATGGATGGATGTTGACCATGCCGCGCGACCGCTAATGTATGGCCCATATGCCAACCTGTGCGTCGCTTCCGTCCATATCCACCAAGGGCTGTCTCATACTAGTATCTTGCAGGTCGACCTTCCTTACCGGCCCACGCACGTGTCTAGGGTGCGTATTCCTTCTAGTTCAAACTTGAGATGCTCATAGATTGCACCCCGCAGATGGCGCTTCTTGTGAGGATTACGGATCGATCGATTTGCGCTGATGGCTGCGATTAGACTGCTTGAACTACACACACTGCTAGCTGCTGTCGTCCGGAACTTCGAGCTTCGGCTGCCGGATGGCGAGTCGCGGGACGCTGTCGGGATGAAGTTGACGGGCACGCTTGGACCGGTGTGGGTCGAGAGTGGGAAGAAGGAGGTGTACTTGGTTGTGAAGGAGCTAATGTCCGGCACTGAATGAGTCGATAGAAACCAGACAACGCAGGAATAGAACATCAACACAAGCTCAAATTGCATGACAAGCAAGCATGAGAGCTAGTGGTATCTGCTTTGGAGCTATGGTGAGAGGACTGGGATACCGTCTGCGGGTTTGTTATGATAAGTGCCAGACCACCAAACCTACAGGGTATAGGATCAAGGCCATGCGTTATGTTTGCGTCCCGTCACACGCATGGTGAAGCGGTTATCATGCTTGCCTTCCATTCAGATGTTACAGCCTGAGCAAGCGGCAGGGGTTCGACTCCCCTTGCGTGTATCCTTGATTTGCATAGCTCATATAGCTACTTATTTTTTGTTCCGTCTCACTGTGCACTATAGTATATTATGTCCCATATCTTGCAATCCTAGTCCAGTTCACCTATGACCTTGGTAATAAAAAATTGTTATCAACTCCAATTCAGCGGGTCTACCCGGGCAGCCTGTATCCAGTAGAGTTATATCTGATGTTTATTGAGTGAAAAGTCAGGAGGTCCCATCCCTTAAGTAAGTAAGATCTGTCTTCATATTCTCAAGTTCCATCATCCAATAGATTCCAACTGATCTGATATTATGATTTATCAACCTGTCCCCTGTGACTGTGACTATTCTTGGACTATTCCATAATGAGTGGGTAGGGCCGGTAGACTATTAAGTATCAGGGGACCTTTATCAAACCTTGTTCTTCACCATTTAAACCTTTTATTTTGGCCCCGGTTGATAAGATGGGACAAGGAGGAGATAAGATGGATGATAAGATAGTGATTGGATCATCAGATGTCGATGCTGATGTTGATTGACAGCATGGAGTTAGACATGAGGCAAAAAGCATGGCTAAAGTATGATGTCATTGCCTCTTGTATTAGGCATGGTAAACATATGGGAGTAGGGTATATAAGTAGAGTAGATCTCGTCTTGTACCCCAGTCTTCGAATTGCATCATCTTTACAATATCTTTTCACGGTGCTTCTTGCTTGCCTTTACTGGCCAACTGGCATCCTCTGATTTGATGTTGTTTGTGACAAATAATTACCGATATCTTACTAGGTAACTTGCATAGGTGACGAAAGCACTACTAAGGGTACCTGAGTATTAAGACCAATATCCTTGACAATATAATATTATTAGTGTATCTAGATCATCTCATCATTATTCATCACATCTATTGATGCTGCAATATTTCTACCAATTTTTTTTATTGTAATATCACCAGAGACAGTGGATATTATAGTCTATATACCATATACTGTAGCATTTTATTCAATTCGGCGCCCGAAATTGGTGTGACATCGGCGCCGAAATGAAATTTTCGGTGTCTGGCAGCTCCAAGTGTGACTGCCGAAAATTTTGGGCAGATTTCGGCAGGCCGCACCAGCCAAAAATGGTACATCAGCCGAGGGAATTCGGTGTCGAGGCTGTCGAGTGTGACCGCCGAAAAAATTTCGGCATTTTAAGGCTGGTGTGACGCGTGACCGCCGAATTGAATAAAATGCTACAGTACCTTATAGTGTCTTGCAACTGAAATTGCCTTTTTTGGCCACATCAATGATCTGTTAGCTTATTATAATATTTATAGTCTTGTTTCAAGTAGATATTGCAGCATAGGTTGCCATCTTATCATTCAAGTCTTATGCCCCAGAATTATTATATTTATTGCAACTTTAAACTCTCTTTATTGCAGTATTGAGCCATTTATAGAGATATTTCTAGTTAAAATGCACACCACACTGTATTGTACATTCTAACTACAAGAAATATCTGGGATTAACAGGTAAAGTTGTATATGATAGGAAGTTGTCTCTAGCAAAGTTGTATATATGACCAGAAACGAAAATAGATACTTCTTTGAAAAAAGTTGTCTCACAACCTAACTTGAACATGTCACTAGGAAAGTTGTAGTTATATTCTTTGATCAAGAAAGTTGTCTTTAGAAAAGTTGTAATATAAAAAGTTGTTCTTGTCTTTTAAAAAGTTGTTCTCAAGAAAGTTGTACATGTCATTCTAAAAGTTGTCTGCAGATCAATAGTTATCTTTGAGCAACATGTACATATCAAGCACAAAGTTATATTTGACAAACATGCAGTTGTTGTCAACATAAAGTTGTACCATATTTTTAGTTGTATTTTAGCCAAGTTGTCTCTGATCTTTTTGTATAGTAAAGTTGAACCTGTACTGTATTTTTCATGTGTATTTACTGCCAGATCAGACTGAAGTTGTACCTAATCTTTTTTACAGTATACTGTATTGCCCATACCCCGATGTTCACCCTTGGATCTACTTCTCTGAACAACTCCACTCTCAAATATTGATTTGACAAGGCGATAAATAATGTGATATTAAAAAATTCAATTGCTATGCTATGGGGAGCCTGAGAGCCTCAATAGCGGTTGATGTGATGGCCATTCCCACGCGTCACCGCCACCCAATCTGGTGAAGCTTGATGCGACACTTGTGTTACAAGGGCATTTCATGGCTCCCGCACTGCAGAAGTACTTCAGGACATTAGATATATGTAAATTATGTAGCTATAGCAAGAAGTACAATTAAAATGTGTATTAAATTGTCCCAAAAGTCAAGAATTGCGTGCCGGACGTGGATCTTGTCCATTAGCCCGCTGAATTGCAGCCAAAAGCGCAACCTGGCGCTCCTTTTGACCTGGAGCACCCGCCCCATTGAGCTTTCCCACTGGTGGAACCTCCTTGTCCCACCGCTGCCACACTGCAATCTGCTCTTTGATTGTCTTGACATTCAGCCTCAAGACTTCCTCCTGCACGACAACAAGCTTGATCTTGTACAGCGCGTCGAGCTTCTCACGTTCCTTCTGCTCTGTCTCCTCAATTTTCTTCTTCTTGGCGACCACGGCTGCCTCGTCTGCCTCTACCAGCTCTTGGCGCCGCTTCTGCTCCAGCTTTGATTGTTGTGTCGATCGTGCAAACTGCCGGAGATACTTGTGGTCTGCATCCGTGAGATTCCTTTCCATCCACTCTGCCGTGCCATTACGCTCAAACATGAATTGCGCATTCATTTGATGCAGCGACATCCGGGGGTGCCTGCGGAGGTAAACTTTCATCCATCCCAAGGCACCCTCATTGTGATCATTTGTTGCTGAGAGCCAGGCTGCTTCACGTTCGGCAGCTGTCAGACCGTCAATGGTTCCGCCTTTCACAAACTCACCTGCAAATCTGTGCCAGGTCTCCAGATATCCATCAAGAAATGCCAGTAGTGTCACGGTTCGGGTCGGGCCGTCCGGGCCATAAGGCCGCACGGGCCCGAACGGACCCGCATGGGCCCGCATACCGCCATCCTCCTCGACGTTCCCCCATTCTTCCAACCCCTTCCCTTCACCCCTGCGGCCCTACGCAGCGCCCATCCGATCCGCCCTGGGACCTGGCGCCCATCCGATCCATCCCTAATATCGTAGCGTATAAAAACCGTACTGACAAGATGTAGTCGCTAGGCTAATATCGTCTATTCTCCGGGCGAATACCCATCCCTCGTGCTCCTCAGACCCCGTCGAAGTCGGACCCCCCGACGCCCCGATACGGCCCGAGCCCGACGTTGACAAGTAGCGCATCGCGGATGTGTGGGAGAGTGGGTCTGTGTGCTCTTGTCAGTGACAGATTGGATGCCAAGTGTCCGCATCTGCCGTTTGCCATCGACGGTGGTGCTGAAGAACCGTGAGACATATTCAATGTGCTTGTGTCCTGTTCTGTCGCTGCTCGCAGTCAAATCTGTGTCAAGAATTGGATTATGTAGGAAATAAAGTCAAGAAGCACACCAGTCGCATCTCCAACCTCTTTTGCCACCTGCATCTGCGCTGCAAGACCACCCTCCAATCGCACACGCGATGCAGTCTGGCTGCTCATGCGGCGATTGATTTGCTTCTCGAGAATCTGTCCTATAGACTGTATCACCCTGCCAACTGTCAGGGGAACCCCCCCTTTTGACCCCTCGGAGACGCGTCCGATTCTGGTCCGACTCTGGTTCCAACTCCGGTCCGGCCCTCCATCTCGCCCGCACAATCACTGATCTGTCAACGCCCTCCCGATGGTCGCCCTGGGACCTCGCCTGCGACGCTGCCCAAGCCTTCTGTGCCCGACAGCGGCAGCTACGGACAAGCAGTATATAGTCAGCTACCTAGCAGGCGGACCCTTAGAGTTTCTTCTCTTTGGATCCTCCCCTGCTAGGACCTTGATCTCAGGCTTCCGGGGTTGCCCTTACACCGACCTTGGATTCAGCGGTCCCGGATGTCATCAACAGCCATGCCATTGCTCGCGCCGAGTTCGTATAGGCGCCCCGTCGGAAGATGCTGAAGTGTGAAGCTTTTCTCTGGGTCTCCCGCCGTGTTCGGTGAATGGCACCCTCCAGCATGCCCTTGGCCCGCTTCTGCTGCTTCTCCAGTGCCCTGCTCTTGCTCAATGCACTCTGGAGACGCATTCGAAGCGCCTCACTCTCCCCATCCTTCCCTGCAAGACGATCTTGAAGGCACTTGGTCTGGGCCTGAGCAGCAACTAGCGCCAGCTTTACACCACTCAGATCATTGTGGCAGGCTCGGAGACCAAGAGATGCCGTTGCCTGTGCATTGCGTAGTATTGCGATGGTCTTCCGTGCTCGCCTACGGCCCTGTCGCTCAGTACGGAGTGATTGTCAAAGGAATACATTTTCGGCTGACAGGTTTGAGATCTTGTTGCGGAGTGGTTTGGTAGGTGTTGTAGGAGTTATGGTTGGTGATAAGGAAGGGTCTTCAGTCCGAGAGGCAGCTTGAGCCACAATTGCTTTATGAATATTCCCTTTTTGCTTGCGGGATTGACCTTGGCGGTGGAATGTAGTCGGGTGCAGGCGGACGGGAGAAGGGCTGGCAGGTGGCGGGGGAGCAGGCAGGCGCGAAAACGGTGCAGCGAATGTGCCTCATGATGACGTGATTGGTGGGCATTGTAGGCAATCACATAAGCATTCTGTCACAATATCATCCAAGGTAACCCTACCTGAGCTGCAAGGTGTACCCTAGGGTAGCACAGAAATATTATATTTCTTCATGCCTATTAGTCCTGACAGAAAGCTAATGTTTTAGTCAAACTGAAAGGTGTACAGAAAGATACCCTTTCCTTTCCCCTTTTGGGCAATCACAAAGATGTTCTTTGTGATAGTCCAAAAGAGGCACAGAAAGACGATCTTTCTGAACGTCTTTGTGTGTCAATGAAAGTTGTTCTTTGTGCAACACAAAAAGGCACATCAAAAGCCCTGATTTTCAATTGGCCTTTTTGCAAAAACATAAAGATCACAATTTGTTGTAGACAGAAAGTTGGACAAAATGGCAGTCTTTTAATTGCTCTTTCATTGTGATGAAAAGAGAGTCTTTCTCTGGTACTTAAAGATAGATAAAAAGAAATCATTTTGGTGTCTATTTTTATTCAGATAAAATATCTTATTTCTTTCAGAAGGAAATATATATTAAAAGGTGATATTTGTGTTCATGTTTCTGAGGGAAAAGAAAGATTTGAATTTACCGTGTGAATATCCTGACCGCGCAGCCCATCGGACTGCCCTAGTTTTTGCACAGATGGCAGTGGATCCTCTATCGCCTCAGAGCCTATTTAAGTTTTTTTACAATTTTACTCAGGATATTGTGCAGCTGTTTGTCTGAGCGACTTTAGGGCAAAAAATAAAGAATCTACTAAATAGAGCATATGCTATCAGTCCATCACTTGCCGTTTTCGCCCACAACTAAACCATATCTATCGAGGATCTAGTGTGATATTGACGTTACACTAGGACACCTGCGCGAGGACGATGCCAAACAGTGTCAAACAACTTCCCGATTAGGCAGTGTGAGGGTCCCCATATGCTATAGTGTCTTTTTTTAGGTACACAGTCCGTGTTTGAAAGCAAAAAACCTCAAAAATGCAGGCCCTCGCTCATTCCGCTGACGTTCTCCAAATACGCGGTCCACTGCTCCCAGCTAATATCCAGAATCAGCACACAGTCTGATGACAAGAGGCAGAACGGGACATACTAAGGGTTTATCGGAACATCAAACACTTTGGCGGCGGGCGGGCGGGGGGCCGGAGTTATCGGGTCTTTCAAAGCCGCTGTGTGAGCTGTTAGTCGGAAAACAAGTAACGACTGTAGAAACACACACACCTTGTGCGAGATAGACAAGTTCTGGGGCCAATGTCCCCGGCACCTCGTCGAACTGGGCGTCAAAATGAGACGATGGCTGGTACAGCGCCTGTTGCTCTCGAGGCACGGCGAAATGTGGGTGAATTGGCATATAGCTATTGTCGAATCGCGGATGGACAGGGAGGCTGCCCAGTTCTGTGGCGTAAATCGGCATACGACCCAGATATGTGTCGGCGACGTCCTGCGACATATGTTGGTTGGAGGGGTTAGCCATGGTAGGCGAGAACAAGTGCGTTGTCTCCGCAAGGGATCGTTCTAGCGCCTCCATTTGCTCGTCCACAGACCGAGGCGAAGAGCCTTCGGAGCTAACCGACAATGAGGGCGGTGAATCGGCCGGACTCTCTTGCTGCGTCTGCTTTTCTTCCTGCTCGCGCGGTCGCTTTGACCACGACTTGTGTCTGCTGAAGTTGAGCATAGCATTGATTATGTCGCAGGAGCGACCGGCAAGTCTCCATCTAGAGTCCCAATCAGTAACGATAAACTGCAGGAAAAGCTGCCCACCGTCTCTCGTACAACCGCAACACTTTGACGCAATTCTTCACATCTGCTGTCGCACGATCAAAGTCATCATGTCCGTCTGTCCTTGACCTCCCCGAGTCCCCCAGACGCCAGACGTTGATAAGGAGAATGACCGCCGCGTCAAACAAGATGCTCTGTGCCGTATGATTAGAACGAGTCGATGAAATCGGCAAAAAGGCCGCACAATCATGCTTGCGGCGCAAATCACGCCCCGGCCCCGCCTGGCTTGGACCTCCAGCACATGACCGATGGAACGAGCGGCGTTGGCGCAAATTGCCATGGACGGGAAAGAGATCTGTGGCATACGTTAACTCGAGACACAAGCAAGGAAAAGATCAAACGGTTGTTGGGGAATCCTTGCCTGGTGCGGTAATAAATGGTCGGTGAATCAGTATTTGCGCTGATGTTAGGTCAAACCAAGATTTCGAGTCCTATGAGCACTTACAGTGGTAATACGAGGCATATCTGAAGTGCATAGTCAGAGTATGCTTCTATCACAAAGTGGAAAATACGAACAGCACAGCCGACTGGTCCAAAAAAACCTGCGAAAGGTGAGCGCGACGCGGAACAGGCTTCAAGACAATACCTGGTTCTCCTGTTGTGGGTTCCATTTCACTACCTCGATTTCGTTAGATTTGCCCTCAAAAGGATGGTCCGCAACACACGATGCACTGGAATATCATCGATCCATTGGTTGACCGCTGAACTAATAATATGTCAGAAAACCCGAAGACAAGGACATGCTGGAGGAAAACACACTCCAGAGCGATGATGTCGTCGTTACTGGGCTCCCTTTGGTCCACAGGATACTGTTGAAAGAGTTGCCATAAGGTTTCCCGAGCGGCAAGAAAAAACACCAACCACCCGACTTTGAATGTTCGTATAAAGGTCGACAAGCTTAAAGTACGGAGAGAAAAAGGCTTGAATAGACGGGTTGGATGATGTATTTCCAGGTCCAAGCTGCTGTTGTTCCTGGATGGCTGCGGATTCGCTTGGGGACAAAGTCCAGTATTGGTCATCGAGCGGGGTAGGAAGAGGGGCTTTAAAACTTTGTGGCTTGTAAGCATTCGTTCCGTGTGAGAGAGTTGGATGTAGCATACCTCGCCACGGAGCGGACTCGTCCCTTGAATGTTGACATGAGTGTTTCCCAGAAAACGAAGATCCAGAACACGCGCTTGTAAAGCTCGACATCCAGCGGCTCAAGGTGCGTGTTACGATACCATGCTTCGTGTTGGGCCGCTACCGCATGGAGGAAACGGAGTCCGACACCGATATGAAACCAGCATTCATCTGGAGTGGAGGATGCGGAAAAGTATAAGACACCGAGCTGTAGAAGTTGAGCTGGACAGCAGTGATAAACAAGGGGGAAAACGCGCCGCCAGTCGTTGCAGCTGCAATAAGGACTTTGTCGCGTCGAATGACGCACTAGTTGGCCGAATTTGGGAGAAATATTTCCAGCCCCCACTGTGCTCCGAATCTTTCTCCTCAAGGAAGACGCGCCGGTCATCGCTATACTTGCTGGCGACAGCACATACGCCAAGCACCACTTCCCCAAACGCTCGCTCGCTCAGATGTCGTTTCGAATCTAGCGACCGTTCAAAAGAAGTTCGGTGGAGGATGCCAATGATAGGATTGATTTGTTCGAAGTAGATGCGGACGAGTGTTTCCAGGAGATCAGGGTCGGGGAATTCCAGCGGGGGATATTTGACGGTACATATTTCCCACTAGTGGAGAGTCGTAAGAAAGACCAGAGGAAGGACACGAAACACACCGAGGGCGGGGTCCAGAATTCTGTCCGTTGGAGACCAAGGACGTAGACTTGCCCGCGGTGGATATGCTTAATCGCCGCATTGACGAAATTGGAGGTGTCAGGCTTGCTGCCGTGCTTCTGGTAAGGGTTGAAGAGGTTGTTGACGCAGCTCGTAATAAGTGGGTTATGGTATTCCATCCCCGCATCGTCGGGGGAAGGGAATTCCGATTGTTTTGAGCTGGAATGATTTCGCAGCTTGGCCTCAGCTTCCGCTAACCTTTCCTCCAGGTCGCGAGCGTAGTGGCAGACCTCCAATAGCATATGACTTGACGCGGTTAGGTCGATTGGTGGGGAGTAAGATGAGGACACAGCACCGGCCACGTAGTTCTGGGCCGCCTTGACTCGGTCGGCAGACATCCTTGCTTCGGTTCCCTGTGGGCAAGATGAGAACCAGCCGACAATTCAAGCTTTTGCTAACGCACCTTGGTCCTCAAGTGCATACAAGCAATGCCTGCCGATATGCAGTTCGTACATCGGTTGTTGGGCATTTCCCCGCTGTCGCCTGAGATTGGTCAGTGTCGATTTCAGCAAAAGAAGGGGTTGGGTACATCGAACTACGGCCTTGAGAAGTTTTAACGAGGGATGGACAGAAAGACACACTTTTCTTCCTCCTGCAAGCATCACAGCTGCCCTGCAGCCTCCGTCGTTTGTTGGAGCCATTCTCTTCAGCGTTGGTCATGGAAGTCGACGAAGCGGCGATCATGGATTACCAAATCGCGGTCACGCGTTGCCATGCAATAAATTTAAAAAAAGGGTTCACAGCTGCGTGGCCGCGGGATAAACCCAAGATAAACCACGACCCAACTACTACATAGTTAGTACTAGTAGTACGAATTCTATCATAGTTCATAGACAAGAGCTAAGAACCTTGTATAATGCAGACGGATTCAAGACGGATTATATGAATGTCACGGTCTTCCCGTGACGTCAAATCAAATCGAGGGGTCTTTCTTCACTTTACACGACGAAGGTTGGGTGAGCCAGCAGTCTCTCAAACCAATCCAACACATGCTGCAGCGCACCCTCTTCAACGCGCGAAACATATCCCGCTCCATGTCCACCGCAACAGTCCATCTTTTTGACCCAACCGCGCCAACCCAGCCCGCCAGCAAGCTCTGGCCAAATCCATCAACAGCTTCGCTGAAAGCCGGCTCATCGCGCGTCTTCCACGACAGAGAGAAAGACTCTGTTACTGCGCTGGGATCACTGGGCCCGGACTTCGCCTCGAAAACGGGTAATGCGCGGAGGGAGGCAGTGAGGCGGCAAGTCGGGGGTTTGGTGAAAGAGCTGGCGTCGAAGGACTATGTTGAGCAGGTCTTGGTTGATACTACGCATGACGCGCATGCCGCGGGTACGCTTCCAGTCGTATCTTCATTCTACGACCAACCCTTTCGATAGCCGTTGCTGCGCATTTGGCGACCTACAAGTTTACCCTCAAAACTGAGCCTGCTCATCGGCTCAAAGCGAACGGGTTAAAGCCGCTCGATGCGTCCGTGGAATGGGACCGTGGGGTTGTTTACGCAGAGGCCCAAAACTTGGCCCGGACTGTGCGTGCTTTTTTTCTTCTTCCTGCTCATCCTCGACTAATCGGGTTTGCAGCTCATGGAACTCCCTGCAAATATGCTTACGCCAACGCTCTTTGCACAGCGAATACACGCCGAGTTCTCTGGAGTCGAAAACACAGAGGTTATAGTAAGGGACGAAGGTGTGTTCTCCGTTTTTTTTCAATTGCCAAAACTGATAGTTATAAGCTTGGGCGAAGGAAAAGGGCATGCGGACATTCTTGTCTGTCTGCAGCGGCACTTTTGAACCGGGAAAATTTGTGGAAATGTACGCCAATGCATCATAACCCTTCAGTGTTCACCGACCGCTTTTATTCAGTCACTATAACGGTGCTTCCTCTAAAGAGGCCGCCCCATTAGTTCTCGTTGGTAAAGGCATTACTTTTGATAGTGGGGGAATCAGCCTCAAGCCTTCCGCTGTGAGTTCCATTCGCTCTTATCGACAGTATCTGACAATCGTTGCAGGATATGAAACTTATGCGTGGAGATATGGGTGAGGGCGCGCATCCATTTTTCTCGCGGCTGACATTGCACCAGGCGGGGCCGCATCCGTAGTTTCTGCCATCCTCGCTATCGCCAAACTCAAGCTCCCGTTTGTACACCTTCCCGAGTTCTTTTAACCCACTTTCTAACGTTTCGTGCAGTATCAACGTTGTAGCGCTCACACCGTTAGCGGAGAACATGCCCAGTGGGACTGCTACTAGACCAGGCGATATGTCAGTTGTGCAGCAGCTCTGGGTGGCTGTTTCTCATAGAGTTATAGAATCTACGCGATGAACGGCAAGTCCATCGAAGTCGACAACACGGATGCTGAGGGTCGATTGGTGTTGGCTGGTGAGTTTTGACTATCCTGGAGGAATGAGTTGCTTACTCAGACGCAAGACGCTATTTACTATGGCTCGACCGAATTCAAGGCTCACACATTGATCGATGTCGCGACTTTGACCTAGTATGTACTTCTTTTGGTCGTTAAATTTCAGTCCTTTGACCGTTTTCTTAGCGCCATGGATATAGCATTGGGCGAAGTATTCACCGGCGTCTTCTCTGTGAGTTGCCCGGTTTGGCAAACGACTGGTTTCTCACATCTCTCAAGTCCTCCGATGCGCTCTGGGAAAAGCTACACGCCGCTGGCGAGACCGAATACGACCGGTTCTGGCGGATGCCCCTCGACGAAGATTACGGCCCACAAATCTACAGCAGCAACGCGGATCTCTGCAATGTCCTCCCTTCTTCGTTATTGATACCCGTTTGACACGAATCCAGACCGGCGGTAAACCCGGAGGAAGCGCGACCGCTGCACTTTTCTTGAAGCATTTCGTTCATGGCCTGGGCAAGACGATCGAGTGGGCCCACATCGATATCGCGGGCACGATGGAGGCGACGCGGGAGAAGCCGTACCTGCTGACGGGGATGACCGGGTCATCTGTGCGGTATATCATCTCTCTCTCATTTCTGGAGTAGGGCTGAAGGTCAGTTTATAGCGGGTTGATTGAATATGCGAGGAATTTGGGGCAGGGGACAAATTGAATTGGTGTGAACTTTTTGGTGGAGGGAATGTACGGCTACACGATTACAGTGGCTTGCCAACCTGATTGTGGGTTATACAATAACTTCAGGAGGGAGAATGGACAATGTGGTTCCTCCAGGAAATGCCGCTCTAGACACGAGACTCCGAATCTTTTTGACCAGGCACCATGACACTTTCTCCAGATGCCTGAGATGAACCTACTTCGGAGCGGTCAGCAGCAGCTCGCAATGTAGTAGCTCAAATGGGATAGTAGACAACTAATAGTCCAGAAAATAAAAGAGGTCGAGGGAAGATAGCTTGGCATTGTCAAACAAACTTTCAGATGATGTTTTCGTTCCCTGAGTTGTCTCACAGCTAGCAACACGTGTCTAGTGCTAGACTTCATTAGGGGAGTATACTGCTCAAGCTTCAAGTTAATTGGACGAATTTCAAGTTTCTCTTCCCCAACGTCGTTCAAACGTCATTTTTGCCCGCCATGACAAGTTACAACATTGAGCCACTTGTTGTGTGTGATGGTTTGGTGTGACGACAACTTAATCAATTGGTGAGGTGGAAAATGATGTATTATCCAGGTTAGTGGCATCTACCGGTAGAGGTTGCCCTGTAGACGGGAGACAGGTCGCCTATGATTAGGTGCTAGGTTCGGTAGCTCTCCGATGGAAGCATGTACCGTATTACAAACAAACAAACAAACATCCAATAGCCACTGCGGCCTGTGGGTCGCCCTCCTCGTGTTGAATGTTCCGTGGATCCGAACCAAAAGTATTATTCATGTTTCGTGGGTGTAAGAATATAGGGGTCTCTGTGTACTCCTCACGAATCTATTTGGAATCAGTGAAATTCTGAATGAAATGACTTTCTGGCGTACCTGCAACAGCCCCTTCCGTCTTTGCGGGCATGGCCATAGCCGCTGTTGGCCCAGGCTGCGTTTGCTTCTCCCCTCCCTGCCCTTCCCCGTCCCGTTTTATCCCGTCCCACTTGTCCATGCTGTCCTCGTTAAAGCTCCGGTTGCAGCACGACCCACAGCACCCCGCGACGCCGTTTGACCCGCCACTGCCCCACGACTTGGTGTTGCAGAATGGCGCGAAAATGGTGTAAAAGACGACCGCTAGTGTCACGCGGAGTTAACGCATAATATGCAAAAAACATAGGCAAGCAACGCACCGCAGCATCCGCCTGCGCCAGCCCCAGCCTCTGCTGCGTCTCCGCTCATGTTCTCGTGGATGGTGGTGCGGAGGAAAGGGCGAGGCGGTTACGTCATAGCCCAGGTCAGAAATACTTACCGCTGCACAGCAATCGGCTCCGTCTTGGCTCCGTCCATGATCATCCTTTCCACTTTGCGCCACCCCCGCCATGGCCAACTGCTCCGGCGCCACTGGTCCTCGTTCACACGCACCGAAGAGGCGCTGACGATTGACGGGCTCGGCCGCTTTCCCTTCCGATGGCTCCGCGATTCGTGCCTTTCACCTGAATGTGTGCATCCCAGCAATTCCCAGAAGCTGCATCGCTCGTCCGATATACCACACGATATTCAGCCGGCTACCGATGGTGTGCGGCTTGCTGACGGGCAGCTGCACATTCGGTGGAAGGATGGTCACCAGTCGGTGTTTCCGAGGGACTTTCTCGAGCGGCATTCTTCAAGAGAGCGGCTGAAGGCATTCCATAACGACGTGGAAGAAGTGCCATGGGTGGCGGAGAACATAGCTGGCTCATCCAGTCTATTCGTTGACTACGAGGCGCTGCAGGGCAAGACGGGCTTACGGACAGCCATTGACCAGCTGTGTAGTCGGGGCTTGCTATTCGTCGTATGTTGTTCTCTGTCCCCTTTTCTCAGCAATGACCGGCAAGCACTAGAAAGGTGTTCCTAATCAAGAGACTAGCGACGCCAACTGTGAGCTGCGAAATCTCGCTGAACGCTTCAGCCAGATCCGCGACACGTTTTATGGGCCAGTCTGGGATGTCGTCAACTTGCGCGACAGTACCAACATCGCGTTCACCAACTTATACCTCGGCTTTCACCAAGACATCCTGTGAGTCGCCTCCATCTTCCCCCCTTTCGACGCTGACATACCACAGGTACTTTAAAAACCCGCCCAAGTACCAGGCCCTGCACTGTCTGCGTAACCGCGTGATTGGCGGGGCCTCTCTCTTCGTCGATGCCTTCCACGCCGCCCAGAAGCTCCGCCTCGACAGTCCTGAGCTTTTTTCTGTGCTCGCTACCACGCCGGTGCCGTTCCACTATATCGTGGATGGACACCACCTCCATCACACCCATCCCACGATAGAGCTCACCCCCGCGGGCGAGATCTCCCAGATAAACTACTCCCCGCCCTTCCAGGCCCCGCTCCACATCGATACCCCGGCCGTATTCTACACTGCCCTCGCCGAGTTTGCCCGGTTGCTCGGAGAGGATGGCCGCATGTTCGAGTATACCCTCAAAGAGGGCGACGCCGTCATATTCGACAACCGCCGGGTCCTACATGCACGCACCGCTTTTGCGGATAAAGAAGGCGGCGAGGGAAAGGAGGGCGAGCCAAATCGCTGGCTCAAGGGGTGCTATTTCGAGGCAGACACCCTGCTCGACCGCGGACGCATGTTGCGCAAAGCGTTATGAACGAGTACTCAATCTCCGCCGCTATGCATCCTCGGAGAGTAGAAAATAGAAAGAATACGGGCGCAACATCATGAGGGTATTTAGTCTCTGGATTCTATCATTTCGACGTGTGTTTTATAGATTCGTACTACAAGGAAGGCATCGGTGAAGCAGCTTCCGTGGCTGCTCAAATATATAACAGATTGCTAATATTCTATTCACCTATACCTGGTTTGATTTCGCGCAAGGATGATAGGTTTTAAACCCAACCTGTACTTCCACACACAGCCGCGTAACTTAAACCAAGTAATGGTCTGCATTGTTAATAATAGCAATATCGGGCCGGGAGTTGATTCTCGATTGTCAGCCGTCCCACAGCGGTCGTTTGCGACAGCACAGCTTCCAATTGATCCCGGCATGCCGAAAATTGCACCGCGTTATAAGGATGTCGAGACTCTTCTTCCGGCTCGTGATGGCGCCGCGCCGGTGTCGGGAAGTCGATCTCCAGGAGAAAGCGCAGAGTGGCCAGGCCGGTATGGAGCGTACATGCGCTGTCGAGGGCAGCTAGAGTCGCGGCGTCAAACTTGTAGGAAATCGGCTGGCTGAACTCGGGGGGCACGTCCGTGACGGCAAGTTCCTCGTCACTGCTATAGTGGCCGCCATCGTTTAAAAAGGGGTGATATCTGCGTTCGACATGAGCCTGAAGATCTGCATCGGTGTATGGTTTGCGAATGGGCTTGATTTCCACATGCGTTTCAATAACGAGCTCGGTAAGCTGTGGACTTGCGCCAGGAGAGAGGATGACCTCTGCTATCTGCATCATGATCCACGACTCCGACAAGGGCTGTTCGAGTATTTTGATGTCTATGGTGATCTTCAGAATTCGTAACATCCGCCAACTCGATGGGAGGGAGGGAAACCCGAGAGATGACAACATAACTGGATGCTTATCTGTGTACCTGCTCAATCGTGCGTGAGGGAAGGATAATAATCCACTCACCAATCATACTGGGAAGCCGAATTTTGCGGATAGTCGGTGCTACCACGGTCAATAGAGTGACGATGGCCTCGACTTCGTCACCAGCCCTTCGAATTGACAGGGAGTGGATATTACGTAGGCGAGATTGCAGCTGAGACGTTGCAAGGAGCTCCAACATGCTCTGGTTGGAGCTCACAATAATGGATTTTGCGGGTGGGCGTGATCCAGTTGGGAGAAGTCCAATATCCAGTACGGACCCATCAACTGTACCAATTTCCTGGGTGATACAGCCAACTAGTTCCAGAGTCTCCGACGCATCGAGGCAGAGCATTACAACGGGCACCGTGATTGCAAAGTACACCAATTTGATCGATTTGAGCGGCCGCGTACATCGGTCCATGAGCAGGGCAGCGACAGCGCTGGCGGCAGTCTCCGGAAATGTGGCCCACGGGAGCTGAGCGCGTCCCATTCCCGCAATAGTGACCGTCTGCAGCTTGTCGAACCGCGCGAAGTACGTGGACTCGATATCAGGATCAAAGTCGCCCTCCGTCTCTGTTCCAACGTTCTTCTCGAGCGTGATGGTGAGATGTATGACGTGCTGCGTCAGATGCGGCGCCTTTTGAAAGTGGTAGGCAGCGAGTGCCCAGAAGTCGAGCGTCGTCGGCGACAGCGTGAGCTTGAGCGAGGCGTGCAGTCGCTTTTGGCATGGATGAACAAATACTGAGGCGGCGAGGCAGCAGCTCTCCAGCGACGCGCGGTCCTCCACTTGTCCGATGATGTTATCGATGAGTTCCGCGGGAACAGGCATGGGTCAAAGAAGAGTGTTGGGTGGACGTAAAACGAAAAAGAAAAAAGTGACGTGAGAAATTTCCAGATTAGGAAATCGTGCCACGATCTTTTCCAATTCGCCACCAAGTGCTCGCTGCTTGCCACTGACAAGCCAAATCTGTGCTGAGGCCATCCAATCCTGCGAACCCTGCATGTCTGTAGCGCTTGTGTGCCGCTCCACTCTTCTAGCGCCATTGCTGGTTGGAAACAGGAGGAAACTGGCACTGTCACTTTCGGACGCCACTCACGGAGCCATAGCAAAGATGAATACGAGAAGATGTTAGGTATGTCGAATTGTCCCTGTCTAACAAGATGGTTTATCCTCTCGCTCAGGCTGATGCTCGCTTCAAGTTTTGCTCTGCCAGTGTTTTGTTTCGCATGCATGGGATTTGAAGTTGCAGTGAACAATTTGAAATCCGTTCAGGTGTGTACTTGTGGTTGTTAGTAATAAGCGCAATTGCGAGCTCAACGGGTCATAGAGATTTGCTTCGGGCAAGTGTTCTATGCTCAGTATGCTGCAGGGAACTTAGTAGAACGCCCTGATAGCTGTACCGAAGTGGCACCCCAGATCATGCTTTAGCTTTCCCCCAGATCATGATTTAGCTTTCGCCACACACTCTGCGTTTATCTCCGCCCAAATCTCTCTCACCAACAGCTTCTGTGGGCCAGCCTCGTTGCAGGGCGTCTAAGTATTTCGAGGGTCTTCCCAGTGGGACATATAAACTCGGCGAGACGAGCGCTGGTCTGAGGGCTTCTCAATCCCAACTTTCCCTCCCTCCAGGTCTCGCACAAACCAGCATGGACTCCACCCGCGGTCGCGGCAGTACACGTGGAGGACGCTACGTGTCACGAGGGACAAGGGGTTCTGCGGTCGGTCGCGCCGGCGGTCGCGGCGCTTGGCCACCATCGTCGCCAACAAGCAACACTGCCTACGCCAACCCCACGCCACCCACTTCGCCGTCGTTTTACCCCCCTCCGCGCAGTGAGACGCCTGTTACGCTGCCTTCCGACCGCGACATCATGGCTGGCTTACACGCTTCGCCGCTCAAGACACTCCGTGTGCCGAACCTGGGTTCTGGCGCATCTAATACAGCAGTGACAATCAAGAACTTGAAGCCACTGGGCTCGTACAACTGGACCACTGCAGCGACGCCAACTATTGTTGTTCCTGGTTCGTCCCTGTCACGTTCCGGTACATTGACCGATGATTGATCCATTCACAGGCACACCGCGGGCTTGGATGGACCGCCGCCTGCCTATCCAAGTTGCGGCAGACACGGGCATCGTCTTTGTCGACCAAAACTCGCACCACGCGCCGAACGGACAAACGCTCGTGCCGCTGATCGCAGCGGTCGACAAGGCGCACGAAATAAACTGTCGCAATGCACGCGTCGCCGAGATGCCCTTCGACTGGGCCGATGAGCAAATCGACTTCATTACTGATCGGAACGGGCTGCGGAAGCTCCTCCGCTGGATCGATATGCGGCAAGCGTATAGCACGGCAATTCCGGCACAGACAGATGAGCGGAGGCTCAAAGATTGGCGCATTGATATGCAGCTTGCACCGGGCAACCGAACCGTGTTGTTCAATAGGTGGGAGAAGCGAGACCAGGAGCAGATGGGTGGCTTTTCGTATGGGTTCAACTTCGAAAAGGCCACTACGACGGCCGCACGCGGTGTCGCAGAAAGCTCTGGGCATCATCGAATTATCAGCTATGTAAGTGAACTCCATTCCAAACGGTTATTTCCAACGCAACTTCGACAGAGTTTTGAGGGACTAAAGATGGTTGTCCGTTTCGAAGTGGACGCTTACATCCCGACGCCGCTCTCGTCATCATCTGCAAGCGACCTGGACGATCTGGTTGGCCGGCTAGCAAACATGAATGTCTCTAAAACGCCTCCCACCAGTCTTAGCAGCCAGCACGATTATGCGGCATCGCTGACGTCCACCCGCGCTACAGCCTCTCCTGAGCCAGTCACCCTCGACAATGGTCTGACCGTGTTGGAGGGCGGGACCCACATCCCACATACCTCACTGGTTGAACTCACCACCCGCACGGAGCGGCGTGCGCAGCAGATGGACTGGCCCGAGAATTTCCCACAACTCTTCCTTGCACAAACGCCAAACCACTTTGTTGGCGTGCACAACCGCGGGCGCTTTGCAAGCGTTGTGAAGCGTCAGCTTGGCCGAGGCGAGTTTGCCCAGGTAGAACAGCAGGTGCAGCCAAGCTTGAGAATTCTTGGTGCCGTGCTGAAGGAGATTGCGGCGCTGGTGAAGGCTTATGGTGAGCGCGGCCGGCTGACACTGGTGTGTCGTGAGGGGCAGTTGCGAGTATATGAGCGGGTGAGTATGGAGAGCTGTCTCCCAGATGAAATGTTGGAGAGGTTTGAGGAGTAAATCATGAGATGGTTAATCAAGTCTTCAAGTTTGCATCCACATGTATTATATATAAGTACTTCAACTCATGTCCTATGCAGAAAAACATTAAAAATCAGATATTCCCCACTTATTTTTGAGATTAATCTCCATCTTTCAAGCTCAGAGTTATGTTTCCAATAATATTGCCATGGTACCTTTTCAGTCTGAATGAAGCTAGATCAACTGTTGCAAAGTTGGTATCTACTGCCAGTGTACTATCAATTGGAATGGTAAAAGGTGTGACATAACATATGAAAATGTTAATTGAATTAAATTCCCATGATATCCTTGTCTGAAGGATTTTGCTGCTGGTTTGCAAAATTAACAAGGCTAATGTTCCAAACCTAGTGTGATAAATAAATAAACATGCCATACTGAGAATGGCATATTACATTCTAAACAGGTAAAATACTTACTATCATTATTTTTTAAAAAAAAATTGAGTTTTTCAGCCAAGAAATGCTTACTTGGCTGGGGTGAAAGGATTTTTAGAACAAATTCATTCAGTTCTGGGGGCCAAGAAAAAGGTTCATATATTTCCCGCAACTTTTCCCACCTAAATATTTTTGAATCATAACTATAAGTACTGTACCATTTCGATCAATTGTCCAGGGGTGTGACACATAACACAAGGTGTCCACCAGACAAGGTATCCGGGTTACTATAAAAGGATCTGGCATGAGCCGGAACAAAAAAAAAATTCCCTTTTTAGGGCTGTTTTTAATCGCAATCTAGCCACGAATGCATAATGGAGGCCACAGGTGTCCGCGCTGCGACCGCATGTAATACAGTACTTCAGGACATGCAAGCAGTATTTTACTCATTGCACATCTCAGAAATAGTATGACATTCAGTATAAAAATCTGTTCTTTGTTCTCCTCCATTACTTTTGTTTTTATTCCAGGCTTCTGAGGCATCTGGCCCTAATGATATATGAGCTGTTATATTAAGTGCATCTTTGACTTGCACAAGAAGCTGCTCAGTACACACCTTTACTTCCGGAATATATAAACTTGCTTGCATTGTGGAGTCATGATATCTTAGAGTACTATAGCATTTTAATCAATTCGGCACCCAAAAAATTTGACATTGGTGCCAAATTGGTATTTAATTTTTCGCATATTACGGCGCAGCAGGGCCACGCTAGCCAAACATTGTCAATTTGCTGAGTGAATCCGGTGTTTGTCCCATTTGCATGTGACTGCCGAGAAAATTTCATTTCAGTGTTTTAAGATAGTGTGATGTTTGACCGCCAAATTGATTAAAATGCTACAGTACAAGTCCAGTTGCTTCTGTGATAAAATAACTTAATTGACCCTAGCTATTCTCTTAAAGAACTGTCTTCTTTGAACCAGGCTTTGGATTTGTGATCATTAGCATAAAAGCAGGATTTGTCATAAAAGAGAGCAATAATTTCCCATTGTTGTCCAGGATTAACCTTGGGAACATTGGGAATTAGATCAGGTCCTCCATATTTTGTTATGAATGTCATGAATAAGATACAGCCTATCATCTCCAGAGCTGATGCTAGACCACCAGGGGCCTGGGACGTGCAACATTACATGGAATATGACAACAGGGAACATGCACCCCAAAGGAGATGGAACAAGCATGTGGGAAACATGAGGCCCACAAACAATGTGACACGCTTGATGCCCATGCCTAAGTTGCAACTGAGGCAACAGGAGATTAGGGAGGAGTGCTAAGAGGATTAAGAGTGGCACTTGGACTATACTGTCCTATTTCAATCAAGTGTCCGGCACTTTTTTGAAATTTAGGACTAAAAAATTTTCTTTCGACGAGGACTTTTTTGGTCAATGTAATGCGTAACGCAGACACTTGATCAAAATAGGACAGTATGAGATGTAATTTTAGTACCTGTTTTGTTTTTACTGCTAAACTTATGCCAGAGGTACACAAGTGTATTGTATATTCTAATACTGTTGAGAAATTGCTATTATGAACATGTTCCAAGGCCGGTGGGTGTCTCTCAGGCCTGTACCCTTTGAAATCAGGATAGCCTGAGTGATGGTAGGTGGTCTGATGTCAACCAGCCCAAACGTTTCTACACCCTTCTGTCACACTCTTCCACAACATCAATCAAATGTCAAAACTGTCAAAAATAACCAAATATGGACATAATTATAAATCTGTTCCTTGTCTTAGGAGTGTGTAGGAATGTCTAGGTGTCCAAGACTAAATAAATACCTTAAGCCTATTCTATTATACCACTTTTCTATAGTACTTATGTTTCCTTTTGGATGAAACACAATAAGTACACTGGTAATATGAAAGAATAAGTGGAATTAGTATATAACTTGAAGTGCCCCATTTAACCTGATCCTAGAGGAGTAATATATTTTCTAGGGCTCCAACCATTTCCGTGTACAAATGTTTGTACACGGTTACAACCATTTTTATTTTCATTTAGTTTACCATTGTATGTAAATGGTAAATAAATGAAAACAAATGGTTTAAATGGTTATTTCCTAATAACAATAGCAGACAAACTAATAACTATATTACTACTAGGAATATGTCTGGCTACCAAATGTATACTAGTGTAGAACATACATTCCATATGAATATGAATGGTTGTTGCATTTGTAGGCTTCCTCTTGAAGAAATCCATTACATGATCTAGCATCGAATAAGTCAAAGGCAATGAATCTTGACCTACATGCCCATCTAGAACATTATTAAAAGTGAGAAAATAACATCTTTCAGTTATATGAACCTTATAAACTCAAGTAGGTACCATAAAATTGCTGATCATTTTATATTATTATGTTACCGTTTTTATCCGTTTTTAAATGGTAATAAACATTTACTAAACATTTTCTTACTATTTCCGTTTAGTTTACCTGGAGGTGTAAATGAAAACTAAATATATTATTTTCTGGTATGGTGACATAAGAATAGATGTTATTATTAACTATATCATATGTATGATTTGATATAATTATAACATGATATTGTAAGGGCAACCCTGGAGACTCCGACGAAAGCCTAGCAGGGGAGGATCCAAAGAGTGAATAAGACTACAGGAAATACACGGAGGGACCGACCTAGCAGGGGAGGATCCAAAGAGAAGAAACTCTAAGGGTCCGCCTGCTAGGGCGCCAACTATATACTGGTCGTCCGTAACTGCCGACGTAGAGTGCAGAAGGCCTGAGCGGCGTCGCAGGCTCTGTCCCAAGGTGATCGTTGGGAGGGTCTTGACGGATCGGTGATTGTGCGGGCGAAGGAGGCCATGGACGATGGTCGGGGTGGGTCGGAGCGTCCGAGGGGGCGCCGGTCGGATGCGCCTCGGATGCGTTCAGAGGGTCCGAAGGAGGCCAAAGCGGGGGTTCCCCTGACATCACCCCCCCCTTTGAATGCGGCGTCCCGACGCATAATACGGAAGGGCAGCGAGTCGAAGGTTGCTGAGGCGATGTGCCGTGGTTTACCCGGGTATCTCCGATAGAAGTCCGCAATCTTGTCTGGCGCAAAGACACGGTCGAACCGAACCCACGAGTCGTGTGAAGCATCGTAGCCTTTCCACCTGACGAAATAGTTAAGACGCTTATACCTTATCCTGGCATCCAAGATTTCCTCGACTTCCCATTCGGGAACTCCGTCCTCTAGTTCGGGGGGCGGTTCGTCGTAGCCGGGTCGTCCATCGAAGGGGTCGTCCTGAGCGGGCTCGAGCTTAACAACGGGGAAGACGGGGTGGAGCTTGGAGTAACGCGGGGGGAGGTCGAGCTTGTAGGCACCTTTGCTAACCTCTGCGAGCACCTTGAACGGTCCAAGGCGCTTGTGGGAGAACTTCTCGGAGGGCCGAGTCGTTCTAATGTCAGAGGCGTCCAACCAAACCTTATCACCAACTTGAATATTCGGAGCGTCCGAATGTTTCCGATCATAGTACCGTTTATACTCGTCTTTGGCTTTAACAAGCACGGCCTTTGCCTCGGAGACGCCGTTTGCTATCCGATCGCGAAACTCGTTCACCAACTCCAACTCTGAGCGGGCGCCTGGCTCGAAACCCATTCGGGGGAGCCAACCAGTGTCAGTCATAAAGGGTACCTGTTGAGTGGAGGAGTGAACATGGTTGTTATAGGCGAACTCAGCGGCAGGGATAAGCTCGTCCCAGTCGTCTTGTTGGTAGTTGGTGAAGATCCGGATGTACTGCTCGAGCTCTTGGTTAACGCGCTCGGTTTGTCCGTCGGTTTGCGGGTGGTAAGCCGTGGAGGTAGCCGGTTTGACGCCACCCCATATACCCCATCTTTCAAGAAAGATGTGGACAGTTGTCCATAGCTGTAATGCAAAAGATGTGGACAGTTGTCCAGAAGTCACAAGCCTGGAAAGTAAATGTTAAATTAAAGAGCCAAATTGCTAGATATGACTAAGCTAATACCATATATGGCAATAGAAATCACCTTTTCTTCAGGCCGATGATTCGTAATATAGTTTGGAACAGTCTGTAATACAGGGCAAGGAAATTGATGTAATCACATGTCACATTGATGTAACACCATCCAATCATCAAAACAATTGATCTCTATCAAAAATGGTTCCACATTGTAAACAATATATAAATAGCATTGATCCCATCACTAATAGGGCTCTATAAGCCTCTTAAATAATTAATTATTCTTTTAACTAATGTGACATTTGTGACTTGGAAGCAGTTGTCCACATCTTTTGCATTACACTCATGGACAATTGTCCACATCTTTTGCATAGAAGTAGCTATAGCAGCTGTTGACGCCAATTAAGCGCCAGAGTTCGCGCGTGAAGTCAGCGATGAACTGCGAGCCACGGTCCGAAATGTACTTCTCGGGGGGTTCCGTGGTGCCTCCAGACGTTCCGATAGTACAAGCGGGCAGCTCCGACCGCGTCTATTGTCGTATGGCACTCAGTGAAGTGGGCACGCTTCCCGAGGGCGTCAACCACTACCATAACCACGTCATACCCATGGGCCTCGGGCAGCTCGACAA